CCTAGTTTTCACAGCTGATATTGAGCTTCTCCAGTGGTTCTTTCCACAGATGTAATCGATCTGATTCCTATGCATACCATTAGGTGAAATCCAAGTATATAACCTGCTTTTATGTCTCTTAAAAATGTATTTGCTATGAACAAATCATTGATTGTGTGGTCCATCAGGTGAAGTCCATGTGTATAGCTGCTGTTTGTTTCTTATAAAATGTATTTGCAATGAATAAGTCATTGATTTTACAAAATTCAATCATTCTATCTCCAGCCTCATTCCTGTCACCAAGCCTATGCCTTCTGACTACCAATCCTTTTTCCCTCTTCCCAACTTTTGCATTTCCATTACTATTAATGCATCTTGGTTGCATGTTCAATTGATTTCTGACTGCAAAAGTTGGTAGAAATCATCTGTTTTCTCCTCTTTGTCTCTATTTGTTTGTGCATATACCTGAACGATGGTGGTATTAACAGGTTTTCCTTGCCATCAAGTCAATATTGACTCATGGAAACCTCAGGCATATCAGAGAAGAACTTTATTCCATATGTAATGTGGGGGCTCTGGTGGCCTGGTGGTAAGAAGCTGAGCTGCAATCCCAAAGGCACACACTTCAAATCCACCAGTGACTCTGCAGCTAAACTTTGCCACTTGATGTCTGGCATACAGTAAACACCCAGTCAAAGGCAGTGCGGTGTGATTCATGGCTCTTTTTGCCCCTTAATTTTCATTTCTTCCACGTAACTCAGCGGGAATCTGCAAACCAGGTCAGTAAAACAGGGGATTGATTGGTTTTGTGATCACTTACTCTTGTGGAGTCAAAATGGACTCCTGGCTGATCTTCCAGCATGTTTTTTTGGGACCTGTAAATTGTACAGAAGGAGAGAGCCCATATTTCTCCTTGGAGTGGCTGGTGGATTTGTCAGAGTTAAGGTGAGTAGATATAGCATCTGAAAAGGAAAATTGGTAGGGAATTGTAAAGCTAATACAATGGCAGTGCCTCTGGAGGTTTGAATCTGCCAGCAGCTATGAGGGAGAAAGAGTGTGTGTGTGTGTGTGTGTGTGTGTGTGTGTGTGTGTGTGTGGGAGAGAGAGAGAGAGAGAGAGAGAGAGAGAGAGAGAGAGAGAGAGAGAGAGAAAGCATGCACCTATTCTGGTCATTGTTATTCTTCTCCCAAAATGGGGTCTGACATATGGGAAGTTCTGAATAAATGTTGTTCAAAGAATGAGTGAAAGAGCCTCCAAAGAGTTTCTTTTCGTGGTCAGAAAACCAGACTCAATACTTTTCCCTTTTCCGAAGACCCACAAACCACTGACCCAACCCCCTTTCACCATCATGGAGTACATTTAAAATTCTTGGCATCTCCTGCCATCTGGTAACTGCTCAATAAATACAAACATGTGTCTCTGTATGGACCAGGCCTTCTGTCAGCTTCCCGGGCAGAGTCACAAACTGTCACATTGCCTTCGCTACAAGAAACAGAATGAAATTGCAGGGTGCATTGAACGGATGAACCTTGGGAAGAAAAAAAAATCTCCATTGAGAACGGGTTAGTGGCTGGCATTTTGCGAGGCCTCTCCGGCTTTCCAACCAGCTCCTGTCTGCTGCTGCCTTCTTTTGTGAGTATTTCTTTCCTTTTTGCTTGCAGTGAGTTCTGCTCTCCTGTAGGCTACAATGTGTCAGTTGTTATAAAATCCAGGAGGCGGAGCCTGGTGACAAGGGCGGTGGGGAAGGCTCCGCCAGCCAGCCCTGCAGGACGAGCAGTCCAGCCCGGGTTCACTGAGCTTAAGCGTTGCAGCAGGAAAACTTCCATTTCGCGCTTCTGGCTTTGATCCTCACTGTACATCAGATCCGAGGCTCCAAAGGGAGGGATGATGCGAGATGACTGGCCCTCTGGCAACCTGACCATCTCCTTCGCAGAGTCTTGCAAGTCCAGCTGGGGGCTGCGTGCTCCAGCAAGGAGGCGCCTCTCGTGGATGTGTGAGTGAGTGAGTGAGTGAGTGAGAGAGAGTGTGTGCATTGTGGCTGTGTGCACGCCCGGCCGGATGAGTGTGCAAGTGCATGTGCTTGTGTGCAAGTGTGTGAATGTTCTGGGCTGTGGTCTTTCTGGACGAAGCAGCTTGAAAATCTGGAGCAGGTTCCTGTGTGAAAAGGGTGGCTCTCCTTTTGCTGGAGGAGCTGACCAGACCAAACCAGCTGAGCCATATTTCAGCACACAAGGGGAATTTTCTCCCCAGAAGGATTGTTCCCTCTGCAGCCCAGTGAACAAGATCAGCTCTTAAACCTGCGAAACCAAGCGGAGCCCTGTGATTCCCAGGGCTTGACAGCAGGCTTGGGAGAAAAGGAAACATTCATCAAACAGCTTGCCAGTCCCTTTGGCCACAGAAGATGTCATCTCAAACCAAGTTCAAGAAAGACAAAGAGATCATTGCTGAGTATGAAGCTCAAATAAAAGGTGAGATGACGGCTGGGGAGTTTCCTCCTCCCCTCTCCTTTCCCTTTTCTCTTGCTCTGGCTTCTTTTCCCCCTTCCTTTTTCCTCCCTGTCATTATGAAATGCTGTTATGCATCAATAATCTTATTGTGAGGAGGAACGGTGGCAGCGGCACAAGTCTGAACTGGTTTCAGCTGCAGATTGTGCCGAGCGAGGCTGGGAGCCTGGATTGTGGGGCGGGCAGCAATCACTGCATTGCAGGTGTGTGAAGGGGACCCTCCTTGGGCCTGACGCGTGTCGCTGATCCATGTCACTCTAAGACCATTCTGACAGTCGCTGTCCCACCCCCACCCCCGGATGGTAAAAGCCCGTGGAAACGGATGTGTGTTTTTCACATATCTTCACCTCCGTGTTGGTTTTTGTTGTTGTTTCACCTCACCTCTCTCTCTGGGTTGGAATTCACAGGCGTGTGTGCAGGAGGGGCAGGGCTGCAAACTGCACCTCTTTGTCGCTGTCTTGCCTGGCCTGGTTTGCTATGGATGAACAGTCCTGGGGCATATAGATCCAAACGAATGCATGCAATTGGGAAAACAGAAGATGTAGGTGCAGAAATGTATTCGCTTAAGGTGTTCAGCATGGCCATGTAGTGACGTTTGTGGTCAGCAGCCTTCGTTCAAGGTGGACAACTCAGCGTGCTATTCATGCAAGAAGGCACTGCTGGCTGTAGTGGTTAGTAGGGCAGCCTGCTGGGAGGGGGTGAGATGATCTCGGGCTGCTGGTCCCAGCTTGGGTGCTGAGGCGGATTCCCTCCAGGTGCACTGTTGAGGTGAAGTCGTAAAACGGGCACAGTCACCTAGAGAAAACGCAGGCAGAATCTTAAGCCAGGCCAGATCGGGGCTTTGGCCAGAAACATGTCAGCACATCATCCACCATGCTCGCCGTTCTCTGAGGGTGCAAGCTCAGCGGAGTCAGGCTCGAGTCTCTTCCAGTTCATCTTCTTTCTGGTCAAGGTCTCTCCTTGCTGTGATACATGGTGTAGCATGGTTCTGTGTCTCTCTTTGGAGGCAAGGTAAAACATAGAGTGAGGCTCATCCTTGAGGTCGTCCACAGCTTATTAATCAAGTTGATTATTTGTGTCTCAGATGCCCTGAGGTTGTTGCACGTGCTGTGGCTGCTGCTGTGGGTGAGGGAGGACTCACTGGCCCTGGAAGCCAGTGGCCACCCCGCGTGGCAGGAGATGAGTGTACATGGGTGCTGTACACATTTAGACACTTGGAAAACTTTGGGAGGAGCAGTGGTTCAGGGGAGGTTTTGGGGGTATTTCTTTTTTTCCCCTGGGTCTCACCAACAGCCCTTTTTTTTTGCCTTTTAGTTTTCCTTCTCAAACCTGGCAGGCATGTCAGTCCAGGAAAATCCTTGCTGCCTCCTTGTTCATGTTCAGTTCTGTGTAGAAAACGGTGACTTTTGATAGTCAGCCTTACTGAAAATTTACGAGCCCTCGTTTGACCAGAGATTATATTTCATCAAGTTTGCTCTTGGGTCAATTAAAAAGAGAACTAAAAAACTAGTCACCAAACACAACCCTACCCCCCCCAAACCAGTGTCGGTCCCTGAACATATACATTTTAGGGAGCTCAGAAGGCTAAATTGGAAGATTTTTTTTTTAAACAGGTTCTTACCGTGTGTGTGGGGGCGGGGCTGGGGGGGGTGGAAATGCCATGACAAAGGGGGAGATGCTGAATTTTGGAGAGTTTGGGCTGTATGAGCCTTGCCTGGGTGGGAAATATGCTTCTCTAATTTTTGAATGACGTCTGTCACCGGGCCAGTGAACTTCACTTAAGGATCAATTAAGCATTTATTAGACTCGTTTTATTCCCTTTTTACCATTCATCTTTAGTTTTATAAGCCGTTGACTTACTTTATTTAATAAGTCACTTTCTTTTATAGGCCATTGGCTAAGCATACACAAGGGAATGAATTTCATCAGGAAATTTGTCCAGACAGTCTTGTCATTCCTAGATGATAGCTTCCTTGGCATTCTAGCTAACGAAGTTTAATTTTATACCTTGAGAGTTGTTGTCCACAAGACTCAGGCCAGGATAGTACTACTGGGCCTGAAACCCTCTGATTCCATGTGAATCCTCTAGTTACTGATATGTGTGGCAGTGTTTTCATACTATATGCAGTTTTCTCTCAGATATTCTGCTGTTGGCCCACACAGGTGTACAGAACAGAGTTGCAAAGAGCCCACTTTTTGGACGTGAGGAAATGAGAAGCCCTGATGATAAAGGACTTTCCCAAGGTCACAAGTTGAGAATATGACGGTTCCTTTCTCAGCTCCCTCCCAGGCACAGTGCTCCCAGATGGATTGCCTCCTGCTACTGGCCCTTGAAGGATTAATGGCAGCAGCAGATGGCAGTTTTGGGGTGGGAATGCTGCATCTTGACTAAGCTCCATTGTTTACCCTTCTACTTTTATCCCCTTGTCTTTGTTGCTTGCTTGGGAAGAATGATTGACCAATCGCTGAACACAATGCCTGATGCCAATGACCTTTCTCCCTGCATAGCATTTGCCCAACTTGGTGCAAAGGCTCCACCTTGTTAGACAGATTTTTCAATCTGTCAATTATGCCAAGCGAATCTCTGTATTTTAAAAAATAATATTGAGAGCATGTTTGTCGACTTAGTCCCTTTTACTTCCATTTGAAGAATTTATTGACCCAATAAAGAGGAATATTTTTCTCTTGTAAAGAGTTGTTTTATGTTGTAAAAATTTCTAGACTCTCTTACCCCATTCTCTTACCTCATTAAGGCTTTAATCCCTTTGACAGCATATTCATAAAGATTTGCACAGCATATGCTTGAACATCTCCACTGAGGGGGAGCTCACTCCTTTGCAAGCCCACGGATCCATTTATTGACATTTCTAGTTATTGTACTCATATATCCTTCTTGTTGTTATGTGTTGTTGAGTCCCTGACATTGTGTTAAGTATGTCTCTCCTCCACCAGAAAGGAGCCCTACTGGCACAACCACTAAGCTCCCAATTGCTAACTGAAAGGTCTGTGGTTTGAATCCATCAGTTGCTCTGCAGGATTAGATTTGGCAATCTCTCTCCATAAAGATTATCACCTAACCAACTCTGGAGCAGTTCTGCTCTGTCCTCTAGGGCTGCTCTGAGTCAGAACTGACTTGATGACAACAACCCCTTCCCTTATTGGCCCTATAGTTTCTGCCTCTTGGAGCATCACCCAATGAGATAGATGTTTCATCTCCATGACTGCCCATGAGGTATGTGGAGGGATTGTGATTACCTTCGTTTCCTCATGTGGTTCCTCACCACTTACATCTTCCCTTTCCTTTGGATCCACTTGACCCTGGATTGCAAACTCCAATGTTTTTGGATGCTTGGAAGATAGATCAAATGAATGAAGCTGGGCAAGTGAGATGATTTATGGCAGCTGATCGACCACCTGAGTGAAGGTAATATGAGAAGAGCTGGTGAGCCAGACGACACCTAGCCTATCTAGACAGTCACTGCTTGGCTTCAACCATTGTTGCTCTGCCCTGCTTTCCAGAAATCTGGATGAAAGTGTTACATTGAAATTTTCTTTTCAAAATTGGTTTCTAAAAGATTGTACTCTCAATATCCTTCTTGAAGAATGGAACCAAGTTCTAAAGGCAGTTCTCTCTTGTTATGGTTATGCATCATGGAGTAGAAACCGCCCCAGAGGTGACCCTCTAGCAGTAAATTGCACAGGAGGAGTTGCCCGTCCCTCTCCCATGGAGCAGCTGGTGGATTTGAACTGTATAACTTTCCCCAGATGTGATCAAAAAGAAAAGAAACTGTTAGCCTCCTTCATGTGGCACCTGTTGCTATCAGGAATGCAACCCAAGGACTGAGTTTGCTCTCTTCACTGTCCATTCTTGCATTATCCGCTATATTTCTACAATCTGCTGGGCTAGGGACCTTATCAGAGGGGAGAAATAGGAATGAATTTAACATGACTTATTCTTGCTGAACCCCAAGCAAATGGGCATGGCTTCCTGTCCTGGGTGCTCACATGTGCCCCTTTTATGAATTCATTCATAGATGTTGCCTGAGAGAGACATCACGTTCTCTAGTCTGTACCTGGCAAGCTTTTTCTCTTTTACAAAGTCAGAACAACCCTTGCTCATCTCCAGCTTTCTGGCACCTGTTCTAGCCTCCACAGTCCCCTCAAGGATGACGGATTGTGTTTGGTGATCTGATTTGCAGCCCTTCTTGTGGCTTCAGCTCATCTTGCTGTCAGACATAATGGTCTGTTCTGCATTTATTCAGAACTTGCATTTTCATTTCAACCTAATAGAAAATTGAAATAGAAATGTAGTGGTTGGCTTTAGTACTTTAGTTCTTATTACACATTCATGTTCCTTTTAGGCCTTCTTAATAGCAAACACTTAGAATTACAAGGAAGAAGAGTGAGCAGGTACTGAGGAAGAGTGCAGAGATGCATTTATTTATTTATTCAGCAAATACTGGTTATTTACTTTGTACTTAATCTTGGGCTAGATGGTGTGAGAGATGAAAATAGACTCTGCTTTCTACAAATTTTCTTGAAATTTGATGCTAAAACAAGAAAAGGAAAAGGAAAAACACAAAACTTCCAGCTGAGGTCCAAGAGAACTGAGTCTTAAACAGCATGACATCAAGTGATTGGAGAGGATCTTGCTAGATATCCTCGATTCAGTCATGAGTATATCAGGCTGAGTCAGGGAAGCAGTGGGCAATGGTGGGGACTGTGGCCAACTGGGGAGCGCATCTGGGGAAGGGGGGAGATCAGTGTCCAACTCTTACCTGGTTTTGCTGGGCAGAAATGGCCAGATCTTTCTCTGGTATGTCAAAAGAAGCTGGGTTTTAAACAAAATCTCTGGATTTTTCACATGTTGACTTAAAAAATTGAAAAGCACTGCTGGATAAACATTTTCAGCCCATGAGTGTAATTTGTGGTCTACAAGTTGAAGTCTGTCAAAGGCCTTGGTG